TTATGGGGATCCCAGGAACTCGCCTGCCTTCTGGAGATCCAGTGAGAGCCCCTTTTCGGGAAGGACTGCATTGTCAATCAGGCAGTTAAACAGGCAGCAGCAGGCCATGGCATTAAGGACCCCTGAAGGACAGGGGCATCTCACTCGCCCAGGGTCGGCTGCCATTGCTCAGCAGCGCCACCAGAGGGGATGGTGGTTGCTGGTGATAATGCACCCAATGTAAACCCGAAATCTCTAAATGACACAGGCTAGAGATGAGCGACGATAGAGGGTGTGGTCACAGGGCGAGGGTCAGCGGCTGGATTTCATGAGTTAAATTGTTAAACGATCTTGACAGTTACTAGTGGTGTACCTCAAGGATCTGTTTTGGGGCCACTGCTGTTTGTCATTTTTATAAATGACCTGGATGAGGGCGTAGAAGGATGGGTTAGTAAATTTGCAGATGACACCAAAGTCGGTGGAGTTGTGGATAGTGAGGAAGGATGTTGCAGGTTACTGAGGGACATAGATAAGCTGCAGAGCTGGGCTGAGAGGTGGCAAATGGAGTTTAATGTGGAAAAGTGTGAGGTGATTCACTTTGGAAGGAGTAACAGGAATACAGAGTACTGGGCTAATGGTAAGATTCTTGGTAGTGTGGATGAGCAGAGAGATCTCGGTGTCCATGTGTGTAGATCACTGAAAGTTGTCACCCAGATTGATAGGGTTGTTAAGAAGGCGTACGGTGTGTTAGGTTTTATTGGTAGAGGGATTGAATTTCAGAGTCATGAGGTCATGTTGCAGCTGTACAAAACTCTGGTGCGGCCACACTTGGAGTATTGCGTACAGTTCTGGTCACCGCATTACAGGAAGGATGTGGAAGCATTGGAAAGGGTGCAGAGGAGATTTACCAGGATGTTGCCTGGTATGGAGGGAAGGTCTTATGAGGAACTTGAGGCTGTTTTCGTTAGAGAGAAGAAGGTTAAGAGGTGACTTAGTAGAGAGAGACATACAAGATGATCAGAGGATTAGATAGGGTGGACAGTGGGGTCCTTTTTCCTCGGATGGTGGTGGCTAGCACGAGGGGACATAGCTTTAAATTGAGGGGTGATAGATATAGGACAGATGTCAGAGGTAGGTTCTTTACTCAGAGAGTAGTAAGGGCATGGAATGCCCTGCCTGCAACAGTAGTAGACTCACCAACTTTAAGGGCATTTAAATGGTCATCGGATAAACATATGAATGATAATGGAATAGTTTAGGTTAGATGGGCTTCAGATTGGTTTCACAGGTCGGCGCAACATCGAGGGCCGAAGGGCCTATACTGCGCTGTAATGTTCTATGTTCTATGTTGACAGTGATTACTGGTGGTGGTGGCTAAGAATTAAAAATAAAAGTCGCAGAGACTGGGTGGTGGAAAAATCGTTCAGTTGTGAGCAATAACACTTGTAGGTATAAGAGAAAACGGGGAGTGGGGGGAATAAAACAACCCTTGTGGCACAGTTGGTTGTGTCCCTATCTCTGAGACAGGAGGACCACGTTAAAATTCCACCTGTGTAATGACATCTCTGATCAAGCCGATTAGAAAAGATCTTCATTCTACTCTAGTTTGCACAGCTTTGAGATTCACCAGCATCCCAAATGCTAGGAATAACAACCCTGACACTCTCTGCCCCTCACCCTCACCTTTGCTGGTTTGCATTGTGCTCGACAGGCTTTGCCCATAAACTAATCAAATTGGTCAACACGGGTGATCTACTGGTGGTGGTTAATAAGTGGAAAGTAAAATACCACAGGTGTTTTGGTGATAAGGAAAGGAAAACTGGTTCGGTTGTGTGCAAGAACACCTCTGGATAAAGAAATAGTTTGCTTTCCAATCTACCCACGAGGCCTCGCCCATTGATGGGTGGCAAGATGTGTTCAAGCTCCTGAGTTTGAGTATGAATTGCACATTGCTGCCCTCTCCTGGCAGCAGCAGAAGCTGTCCACAAAGGTTGAAACCATGGACCCAGGTAGGGCAGAGGTGGTGAAGTGATGGTGTCACCACCTGCCCCCTGATTAAATGTTGCCCCTCACCAAGCCTGCCATGATGAAAGTATTAAACACTGACCTATACATCTCAGTATTGCAGTATCACTGTAAACCCCAAAACCTCCCCACTTGCATCCTATGCTTCCCACCCACCTGGTACCCTGTTGCCCACCTGGCACTCTAACCAAATCCACCTGAATCTTACACCCCCCATCACCCTACTTACTCACCCATCTCACACAACTACGTTCCTCAGCTACAGTCAGTGTGGCTTTGACACCTTTAAACAATTTAACTCATGAAATACAGCAGCAAAACAACAAAAATTAAAGGCTTCTCCTGGCCTCCATCACCACTCCAGAGCTGATTTCACAGGCCAGATTTGAAAACCTGCCTGGAAAGATTGACGACAGATAAGTGGAAATCCAGAATTCCCTCTCCAAAAGGCAGTGGGCGTTGGGATCAATTAACGTTTTTGAAACAGAGATTGAAATGTTCTTGAAGAAGGGTCCCTGGACCCGAAACATTAACTCTGCTTTCTCTGCACATATGCTGCCAGACCTGCTGAGTTTCTTCGGCAATCTTCATTTTTGGTGTGAATAGGCTCTTATTAGGGAGCTGTCAGAGAATGGGTCAGGGAACCAAATGGCTGAAGTGGTGAAGCTAAAGATCAACCATGACCTAACTGAATGTCTATGCAGCCTTGAGGAGCTGAATGTCCTGCTTTCTGTCCAGGGCAAGGTTCACAATATTGAGACAACTGGATGCTGTCATTGGAAACATTTGTGCGTGTGAGGTTCTGAGACCGAGAACAGTGGAAGAGCAGCATATTCCCAGATGCTGCAATCATGAATGTGCACAGGTCTCCATCTCTCTCAACGGCCTACCTCAGTGACACTTCGGAGGGTTGTCTGAAAAGAAATACTCAAACCTTTTACCCAGGTATTCTTCCCTTGTGGGACAGACAAAAGGCAGGGAACCGACTCAAAACTTAATCAAACAAACGCCCCTTCTTGCCTTATTTGGTCAACACAGGAAACTACAGGTCACACAACATGTCCTGGCTGCAGTTTTAACTGAAGTCAGAGTTTAAACTAGCTTGACCAAAATTCCCAGCATGCTTGATTGTAGCTCTTAACAGGTGTACTGCTGCTGGCCACTTGACATGTCTAATGCATTACATCCATTTCCTCATTCTGCCTATTAAACACTTCGAGTGAGATGCAGTACTGGGGGCAGTTAGGAGGGGTTAGATGTACCTGATTGAAGTCGCCAAGGGAGCGTTGTTGGTCAGCCTTCTCATACTGCCTTGACACATGAGACTCATTCCGAGTACTAATTCAACCATAGTTTTTATTAGGCAAAATAAAATATAACCTGAAGCAATGGTGACAGTTGCAAATGACAGAGTTATTAGCTTACAACTTGGAACACACAACATCTAAATCAATGCATCACTAAACATTTCAACAAAACTCACATGGGCTTGAAACTGTTCTGAGTAACATTGACATGTTCCTGGGAAAATCTTTTAGCTCCCGTTTTAACAAAGCTCTTCTCTCGCACAGGGTTCATTTACTTCACAGACAGTAATGGACAGATCCCAAATTCATACGAATGTCCTGCAGCGTAGCTGCAATGCAATATTTTACTGGAAACAATTCCTAAAGTGCTATGGTCATCTGATCAAAGGTCAAGCCAAATGAAGACTTCTCATTTTGCTTCTTGAATTATCTTGACACATGAGTTTATATTAAAGTCTACAATGTAAACTTAGCTACATAAGATGAAAAAATTTTGCTGTCTGTCACAGTTAGATGCTTCACTTAAAAAAGACCCAGCCGCACATTATCAAGGGAATTTTAATCATGATCAGTCGACCAGCTCCTTGGATAACATGGCATCTTACTTAATAGGCCCTCAGTTGAAAGATGTTGAAATGTTTTTAAAAAGTGATCATATGCAATTTCTTCCTCCTGTTGGTGCCTACCAACATTAATATATGTGAAAGAGAAGGACATAAACAAAGACACAGTACTGTGGTCAAGGTGGGATATTAGTGCTAGAGAACAACATGGTTCCCAGTTTGGAGGCTACAGTATCAAGGAATAAGGTACAATACAAACTAAAACATTTCTCGGTGTGTCCCATCAAGCAGTCCTAGGACAGGCTAAGTGCAGGTTTGGTATAGGATAAACCTCCTCTGCACTCTCATTATCCCAGCTCAGACTGCCATTTCCAATTCCAACTCTACATGATCTTTTGCAAGCATTCTCTGTGATTGGCAATTTACTGACAAATTAAGAGAGTTCAGTGCAGGGTCTCCCTTTGGACTGGGTTGGGGTTGTTCAAAAATTAAATAGATAGACTCCCAGAAAGATACAGAAGGTTATTCAGGAAGCATGCCTGGCACAGCAAGGTGAAAGAACTACGCTCCTAATCCCTGCCTTGACCCCATTGCCCTGCAGGTCACAGAGTCATACAGCATGGAAACAGACCCTTCGATCCAACTCATTCATGCTAGCCAGGTTTCCCAAACTAAACATTTGCCTGTGTTTGGGCCATATCCCTCTTTATCCTTCTTGTCCAAATGTCTTTCAAATGTGCTAACTGTACCTGCATCTACTACTTCCTTTGGCAGCTCATTCCATATATGAAGCACGCTCTGAGTGGAAAAGTTGCCCCTAAGGTCCCTTTTAAATCTTACCCCTCTCACCTCATATCAATGCCCTCCAGTTTTCAATTCCCTCACTCGAGAAGCCTTTGCTATTCACATTAATCATGAGAGGCATAAATATGTAAACCTCTATAAAGGTCACCCCTCAACTCCAGGGAAAATAGTCCCAGCCTATCCAGCACCTCCCAATAATATAAACCCACCAGTCCCAGTATTATCCTGGTAAATCTTTTCTGCAACCTCTCCAATTTAATCATATCCTCCCAAAGCAGGGCGACCAGAACTGTACACAGTACTCCAAAAGTGGCCTCACCAACGTTCTGTACAGTTGCAATATGATGCCCCAACTCCTATACTCAATGCTCTGACCAATGAAGGCAAGAATTATATTAAACAAAATGAACCAAATTAAACTAAATCAAAACGACACAGCCACTTTGTGGGCACTGAAAATCAAATATTCTAATAAAATTTTAAAATTTCAATTGGAATGTTGTTGTGGGCTGAGATAAGTCATCGAAGCCTCTGTGATGCCTATCAGTAACAGAAGGCCTTGTGCATTCCAATGGATTCTGCATGCTCTCTGGAAGGGGATGGAACCACAAAACAAAGGCATCAGTCTTTCCCTTTCAGTATTTTTTTTAATCCCATTCCCTTTTGAAAATTACTGTTGAATCTGCTCCTGCCACCCAGACTTAAAGTCGAGTTCAAACAATCCACCTATGGGCTACTACAAGGTCTTTAACCCACAGTGTGGAAGTCACACATTGATAGAGTTAACATAAAGGCTCATGAAGGGTGGATACAATCTGTCTAAATATCATGATCTGAAGTTTTTTTTAAATCTTTTGGTCTTCAAGAATAAAAAAGACTGAATCTGTCAACAAGAATTAAAGGCTAAACTTATTCTTTGATTGATAAACTGTCTGGTGTCAGTTACAAAAACATTACCACCCAGCCTTGCAGTTTCAATCAAGTTCTTTGTTGAGATTTCCCTAGGAGATACTATTATTCATTGTGAATGCTTGGTTGAGTTTCAAAATCTACAATTATCTCAGTAGGGGATTCACAGTTTACAGTTTACTTGAAAGAGGCTATTGAAGGATTAGTTGTCTCTGAAGTGGGAAATTAGAGGTTTTGTTTATTTTTATAAGACATTAACTGCTTGGCATTAAACATTTTGAATGGATTTCATGAATAGGATTTATTTTCACTATCAAGTTTGTGAGTAAGAGCTGTATTATATTGTTATAAAGTTTCAACTGGTTGCCCCAGCAACAAAAATCCTTTGTGTTATTGAGACACCACCAATAAGGCACTTCTGTCACATGTAACATCTTAGTCCTTATAGGTAAGTTACACGTAATGCAGTGTATAAACCAATCACATGCAACAATCTGTCCACACAGATTTGTCAGACGTGTCTCTGACCATACAGACAAGATACTTTTGATAAGTCAATATTAAACACATTGAACTATACAGGCAAGCGACATGTAACATCTTGGTCCCATTCTGGGTAATGCCAGTACCATTTTCCACTAGTGCATTTCTTAAAGAGTCCAAGCACCATATGCAATGAGGCTCTGGACATGGGCCCAGGTCATTGCATTAGCTAGATACTTTAAAATATCAAGCATTCACAAGCTCATCAGAAAATACCGCTTTTGAACATACAAAAACTACAGCATATAAAGTTTGATTTGGTCACAGTCCAGGTGGAATTGGGGAGCTGGGTAACGTGCTCCCTGGCTTCAGTAGCTACTCTTATAGCAACAGTTAAAGATGACAAATTTGAGGGCCTGTAATCATATCATTGCTCTTTGACAAGTTGTTGGGTTGTCAATACCTGAATGCTTCTGATCAGGTTAGGTTTTCCTGGGTAAATGATTTGCTTCTTCCCCCATCAATGGAATGATTAGCAGTCACCAGGCCTACATACTGCATGAAACAGCTATGCCTTTAACACAATAACAGTGTTCTAACACAAATCTACACTAAATGAGGAGAGTTTTTTTTTTGCAATCTTTTGGTTCTATTTCGTTTCTTTGTGCTTTCTGATTTTTGGTAATTCCATAGATTTGGTGCAAATTCTTATCCAATCATCTTTGGTTGTGTGCTTTACATGGCTAAATGACAAGATTCTTTCTTTATCATCTGAAAGAAAGGTTAATTTCTCCTTTCCCGTTCTAGTACTTGCCCTCAGAGGTCGGGCTCCAGGTTCGGTGTTCTCTCTGACCTCCGTTGGGCATCAGCTCCATTTCAAACTGATGGCAGCCGGTGCCCAGAATGTCTGGCTGCCCACTTCGCCAAATCTCGCGGATGATGCGCTCCCTCTCTTCCAGCAGCTGGGCCCGCTCCAGTTCCTCGGCCGAAGTGAAGACATTCACATTGGAGCTGGTGTGGGGCTGGGTGTGGTTGGCCAGGGTCAGGTCTGTCGTCGTGGGCAACACGCTGTCTCCCTCCTCTTCCTCCTCATCTTCCTCCTCGTCCTCTTCCTCACTGCCTTCCTCGACCTTCTCCTTGGCCGGGGGGGCAGCTCCTGTGCGAGTGTGGCACGATATTCGGATTACCAGCAGGCAGAGAGTCAGCATCAGGCCAAAACATACCCCAGTGATGAAGTACAAGGCAGCCTTTTCTGGGTTTGCTGTAAAACAATTGGGTAAAATCGCTCAAAGTTAATCCGATTCTTGAATAGCAATCAGCGGGGTTGCAGAATTCTGAAGAACAGTTTGGAAATTATGCAGGCGTTCTCCCTGAAAGTTATCAACACAAGTGGGTAAATTGGTAAAGATGCCCATATGCCATGCTTGCCTTTATCAGTTGGCCTATTGAGTAGAAAAGTTGCCAAGTCATGTTGCAGCTGCGTAAAATTTTAGTTAGGCCACATTTGGAGTATTGTACGCAGTTCTATTCGCTACACTATAAAGGAGGATGTGAAGGCTTTGGAGAGGGTGCAAAAAAAGGTTTACCAGGATGATGAGATAACACAATGTAGAGCTAGAGGAACACAGCAGACCAGGCAGCAACAGAGGAGCAGGAAAGCTGACATTTCAGGTCAGGACTCTTCTTCAGAAATGACCAGGATGATGCCTGGATTGGAGCATATTAGCTATAAAGGAGGGATAATTGATTGTTTTCGCTAGAACACCGGAGTCTAGGGATGGGGTGGGGGGTGGCAGCCTGATAGAAATATATAAAATTATGGGAGGCATGGATAGAGTGGATAGTTTGAGTCTTTTTCCAGGGGTGGAAATGTCAAATACTTGGGGGCATAGGTTTAAGCTGAGAGGGGAAATGTTTAAAGATGAGCAAGGGAAGTTTTTTTTCTGCACACAGCCTGGAGCATGCTGCCAGGGAGTGGTAGAAGCAGAAATGATAGCAATGTTTAACAGACATATAGATGGGTGCATGAACAGGCAGGGGGTAGAGGGATACAGTCTCTATGCAGCCAGATGGGTGTTGGTTTAGTTCAGTTGGCTGGATGGTTGGTTTGCGAAGAGGTGTGATGCCAACAGCGTGGGTTCAATTCGCATCACCAGCTCAGGTGACCATGAAGGCCTCTCCCCTTGCCTGAGGTGTGGTGGGCCTCAGGTTAACTCTCTCTAATGAAAGGGAAGACTATTGCAAATGGACTGATTTCTATGTTCTTTCAGTTTCTCGTTGTAACTCTTGAGGAGTTTGCAAGTATATGGGTGCACTCTCTGGGCTTATGGCAGAATTTTAGTAAAATCCCTTGACTTCTTCCAGCTTTAAGCGATTTTTTTCCCTTCAAAAATGGTCTGAATGGCAGTACTACCTTTCCCAGGTCAGGTGCAATTTGGGCCACAAAATGTAACTGACTCACACTAGTGACTCAACTGTACCATGTGACATTTCAACACCTCCTCGGGCCCTACACCCTCTCAGGATGCCAACCCCACACGAATACTGAATTCAAGATTAAATGTGCTTCCAACTCATGCCCACAGGGACCTGTGTGAAGACGTTTCTAAATACAGTGAGACTTAAAAAAAAAAGATTGTTCTTGGGCACTGCTAATAATGATACCACATTCAAAATCACCCGCTACAGTCCCCAAAAATCATCTGGGAAAATGTAATCACAGATGATCAACCAGAGAAAAGTCTCCCCCTATGGTGAATGGAAGGAAATGGTGATCAGCTGCTCCTCCAATCACAGGGGAGTGGAAATGCATTAGCTGTGACATCACCAGTTAATGGCAGGCCTGCTTCGGGCAATGGCTTTTTGTGTGTAGGAGCGTGCATCAGTTAGTTTGAAAAGAAAATTAACTTATGCCTGTTATCTTGTAGCTATTTAATTACTGTGGTACCTAGGAAATTGATCATTCATTGCATGGATCAGGATGGTGTGATTTGAAGAGGGGCTTGCATTTGTGTGACTGGTTTCTATGATGCTCCAGTTACATACGAACGTGAAATAGAAAGAGAAGTTGCGGGAAAACCTCAGCAGGTCTGGCAGCATCTATGGAGAGAAATCAGAGTTAACGTTTCAGATCGAGTGACCCTTCCACTCACTTGTCTGTCCAACTGTTCTTCTCTCTCTTTGGGCTCTATCCCCACCTATCGTTTATTCCTACCCCCTCCCCCCACCCTATGTTCTGCAGATAAACCAATAGTTTCTTAGCGATCATCAGTTCTGAGGAAGGGTCACTCGACCAGAAACATTAACTCTGATTTCTCTC